CCAGGGCGGAGCGGCCCGCCCGCAGATCTGGCACGAGGTCCTCCAGCCCCGATTCTTGTGCCCCCCGCAGGAGCCCGAGCACTGCCACTGGCGCAGCGGCGGCGCGCCGGGCTGCCCATCGGCCTTGGGGGGCGGCATCGGGGAGGACCGATACGTAGAGTCGTGGTGAAAGGCTCTGGGCCGCTGCGCCACTTCCAAGAGCGCGACCCAAAAGGTTTCTCTCCAGAGACCTGGAAATGGCTGGATCAGGAGGAGGAGGAGGAGGAGGAGGAGGAGGAGGAGGAGGGCTGGAGGAGGAGGAGGAGGAGGAGGAGGAGAGCTGGTGGAGGAGGACGAGGAGTCATGAACAAACCACGACGGATGGTCTTTCACTATTTCCCGGAAAAGGCTCTAGCCCAGGGTTTTCCTTTAGGATGGTGATCTGTCCCCAGTGCCACGCTGGGGGTGGGCCGGCGGAAATTCTTCCATAATAAATTCAGGGAGAGGGTCGACCGGCGGATCTGTTTGTTCTCAGGATGTCCCGATCGACAAGGTAAAGTAAGCATGTTCACTTGTTGCGTATGTCTCGAGCGAAAGCTTGGGTTGCTGAAATAGTTGAGGACGTCTCGGGCGAAACGCTTGTTTTTCGTCCTGTACATTGCTCCTCTCCTGGGAGGCCAAAAGTCGCAGGATATCTCAGGCGAAACGCTTGTTTTCACGTGCCCAGCACGTGCCCAGGTCGCTCAGGGGGGTACGATGTAACATGGTTTCCCCTAGATGGAACCACGTGCTTTCACGTGTCCAGGCCACCCAGGTGGGTATCTAACCTGGTGGACCCGCGCTGGAACCAAGTGTTTCCAGGCCACCCAGGTGGGGAACCACGTGCTTTCACGCGTCCAGGCCACCCAGGTGGGTATCTAACCTGGTGGACCCGCGCTGGAAACAAGTGTTTTTTTGTTGCACACAGGCCACCCAGGTGGGGAACCACGTGTTTTCACGTGTGCAGACCACCCAGGTGGGTATCTAACCTGGTGGACCCGCGCTGGAAACAAATGTTTTTTTAGCATACAGGCCACCCAGGTGGGGAACCACGTGTTCTCACGTGTCCAGGCCACCTAGACGGGTACCTAACCTGGTGGACCCGCGCTGGAACCAAGTGTTTTTTTAGCATACAGGCCACCCAGGTGGGGAACCACGTGTGTTCACGTGTCCAGGCCATCCAGAAGGGTATCTAACATGGATGCCCCGAGCTGGAAGCACATGTTTTTTCACGTGCGGGCCACCTACGGGGAGGTATTTACCATGTGTTTCGTCTGGGGGTCCCCAGCGTGGGGGGGATCACAAGAGCCAGACAAAATCAGCAAACGACACCAGAGCAAGTCCTTCGGTTGGTGATTTTTCAAGTGTCCCCCTGGGGTAACTAACATGGTGGTCCCGAGATGGAACCACTTGTTTTCACTTGTCCAGGCCACACAGAAAGGTATCCGACGTGGTGGCCCCGAGCTGGAACCACGTGCTTTCACGAGTCGAAGCCAGCAGTCCCGAGCTGGGACCATGTGTTTTCACATGTCCTGGCCCTGAGAGGGAATATCGAACATGGTGGTCCCGAGCTGGAACCGAGTGTTTTCACGTGTCCAGGCCACCCAGGGGGGGGATCCAAGATGGTGGCCCCGAGCTGGAACCACGTGTCTTCATGTGTCCAGGCGGCCCGAGGGGGGGATCTGAGATGGTTGCCTCTTGCCCTCGCTGGAATTATGTGTTTTCGCGTGTCCAGGCCGCCCAGAAGGGTATCTAGCATGGCTGGCCCGAGCTGGAAGCACGAGCTCTTCACGCGTGCGGGCCACCCGCGGGGAGGTATTTCTACATGTGGTCGTCTGGGCCGCCCCCGCGTGGGGGACCCACAAAGGCAACGCGGCGCCGGATCAGCCCCAGAGGACTTACGGAGCCAGTGCGTGCACGACGGGAAATGGAGGGGCAAAGCACACTGCCCTCCCTCCTCCTCTCCTCCTCCTCCTCCTCCCCCCCCTCTGCCGGCCCTCTCCTCCCCTCCCCCTGTGGCTCCAACAGTTTTACATAGCACGCAGCGCCGCCAATCTGTCTCCGGAGAGGTGTAGCACAGGCAGTCCACGGACTCAAGCCGAAGTCTGAAAGAAAGAAAGCACACTGGACAAGAGGAGCTCCCCGGAGCGCCGCGAGCACACTCCAGTAGCTACGCACGACGCTTCCTTGGGCCTCAAGCCCCTGGCGAGGTGCTTCGAATGAGTGGGATCGTCTCGTTAGGCCAGAGGTTCGAGACCCAAGGATCTCTAGCACGCTGCATCTGTTCCGATTATAATTCCGCCTCCCCCCTCATCTCGCCGTCGCTCGGACGTCCATTACCCGTGCATGGTTCGGTTTCGTGCGTGCTTTTGTTTTTGCTGCCAGATGCTCCCAAATGCTCTTCGATGGCCCTCGCCGAGAAACCGCAAAAAAAAAAACAAAAAAAAAAAAAAAAAAAAAAAAAAAAAAAAAAAAAAAAAAAAAAAAAAAAAAAACGCCAGAGCGATGCCCAGGCCCCCCTCTCCCGCATCTTAGAGGCCGCCCACGGCGACAGCGAAGCCGAACATCCACCGAACTGGCAGCGCAGCCGACACCGACCGAGAACGACAGGCCGCAGGCCGCCCTGGCGTGAGCCTACGGGTAAGCCTAGGGTAGGCCTGGGGGAAGGGCCTGGGGGTAGGCCGAGGGAAGGCCTGGGGGAAGGGCCCAGGGGTAGGCCTAGGGGAGGCCCAGCAGAAGGGGCCTAGGTAGGGGTAGACCTAAGGTAGGCCCAGGGGAAGGGCCTCGGCGGCACAACAATCGACCGACCCGAACCGACCGAACGCCACCTCGCCATCGCTCGGACGTCCGTTCCCCGTGCATGTTGTTCGGTTTCGTGCGCGTCTTCTCCGCAAGACGGCCTCGAATGCTCCTCGACGACTCTTGACGAGATAAAAATGCACACGTCCGAGCGACGCCAAGCCACCGACTGTGACGCAGCTGAACCCACCGAGCCGCGAACACCCTTGACTTAGGTCGGGCATGTCCCCCTAGAGGCGGATTTTGGACGACAGATTGTTTTAACAAGTACTCTAAAGATATTCAAAAATGGTCAAAACAAATACTCAGAAAATATTGCCCTGAGTATTTTTGACTATTTTTGAACATTCCTCCTGTAGAGGGACAAGCCTTCGGACGCCCGAAACGGGCACGGAAAGAATGGGTACAATGCCCAACAAGAAATGTTGTCCCAAACCAACAGCGGCCGCTGTTGGGCAGGCGGCCTTCTGTCTCGAATGGACGCAGGCCGCGGCGGCGTGAACAGCGAGTCCCGTTCAAAATGAACCAGATCCGCTGTTGGGCATTGTACCCATTCTTTCCGTGCCCATTTCGTTCGTGTAGATTTTCCAGCGCGCGGCCCCAGAGGTCCCGACCCCGGCCAGGGTTGGGTCGGGCATGTCCCCCGACGGGCGGCTTTTGGACGCAAAACGAAAAGCACCCCAAAAATACCCCCAGAATGCTCAAAAATAGACAAAAAAAATCGCCCCCCGACTATTTGCTGACGTTTCTTGAGTGGTCCCCCTGTAGAGGGACAGGCCGACTTAGCCCTAGGGGTATTGTTGCGTCCCGGGCCCATCCTTGATTAGGGGGCCACAGGCGAACCCTACCCCTACCCCCCACGACTTCTGAGGGGGAGGGTGGGGTTCACTTCGCTCGGGAGCTCTTGAACGAAGTGAACCCCACCCTCCCCCTCAGAAATCGTGGGGGCCAGGGGTAGGGTTCGCACGTGGCCCCCTATTGATGGCCCGGGCCCCGACCGCGGCGCTCCCGAGGCCGAAAAAGCAGGGGGAAACGCCGGGACCGAAAGAAAGCAGACCGTCGAAGATCTGGGGCCCCCGGGTGCTGTGCAGCCACAGCTCTGAAGGTGCCCTGGGACACACAAAGGAATAAACACAAACAGCAGGATTCCCCATATTTTCCCTTGTCTTCTGGGTCTTTGTCTCACCCCCACTTCCCGTATTCTCCCATATTTCCTGGGCAATCGACGATGAAATTGTGTCTGTGTGTTCTTACCCTCCCGAAGCTCGGGGCTCCAACGGCCGCTCGGAACGACTCGGGCACACCCGGAACGCTCTCGGAGAGGGGCAGATAGTGAAGCGCGACCCAGGCCAGGAGAAACTCCAGGAGCAGACGAAGACGTCCTGATGAGCCTGTTCTCCACCACCAGCACCACCATAAGTTGGAGTGGGAGGGGGTCCTCCTCCTCCTCCTCCTCCTCCTCCTCCTCCTCCTCCTCCTCCTCCTCCTCCTCCCCCCCCTTTTCCTCCTCCTCCTCCTCCTCCTCCTCCTCCTCCTCCCCCCCCCCATTTCCTCCTCCTCCTCCTCCTCCTCCTCCTCCTCCTCCTCCTCCTCCTCCTCCTCCTCCCCCTTCCCCCTTCCAACTTATGGTGGTGGTGGTGGAGAACAGGCCCATCGCGTCCGCAGACGCCCGCCGGCGAAGGCCGGAGGCCTCCGACGAGGACGCATGCCGAGGCTGGGTGGAGGAGGGCGCAGCGACAGCCCCGACGAGGAGGCGGAGGCCTCCGACGAGGACGCAACGACAGCCCCGAGGCTCCTTCGTGCAGCAGGAAGCCCACCCTAATCACAGGGGGATCTTGGGCGAAAAATTAGGGAGGTACTGAGTAAATACCCCCCAAAAGCCAAAAACAAAAATCCAAGAATCGTCCCCAGACTATTTCTTGACTATTTTTGAATATCCCTCCTGTAGAGGGACAGGCCCGACTGCAGGCTGGATGGAGGAGGACGCAACGACAGCACGGATAGGGGGCCACATGCGAACCCTACCCCTACCCCCCACGATTTCTGAGGGGGAGGGTGGGGTTCACTGCGTTCGGCAGCTCCCGAGCGAAGTGAACCCCACCCTCCCCCTCAGAAATCGTGGGGGGGTAGGGGCAGGGTGCGCACGTGGCCCCCTAGAGGGCGCAACGACAGCACGGAGGCTCCTTCGTGCAGCAGGAAGCCCACCACCGTCTGGTTCCGGCCGGGCGCCCCCACCGGCCCAGGCCTCGGGGGGGCAGCCAGAGCACGGCAGCGCGGACAGGAGCTTCCCCTCGGCGGTGGACAAACCTCCCTCTCGTAGACCTCCCTTTACAGAAAAAACGGCCTGGGACCGAAACCGACGGACCTGGACCCGCAAAAATGACGGCGGCGACGCCCTCTCGCCAACCGAGAGCGGCCACTTCGCGAATCGACGCGTCAGGGTGCTAATTATGCTCGATGCATTCGCAATGCGCGAGGAGAAAGGAGGAGGGGTAGGAGGGGTATGAGGAGGAGGAGGAGGAGGAGGAGGAGGAGGAGGAGGAGGAGGAGGGGGAGGAGGAGGAGGAGGAGGAGGAGGACCCCCGTTTGGACTGCCCCCCGTCTCAGGGCTCCCGCATCAGGGGGTCCCCAGCAGCCCGGGGTCGGAAGCACCGCCGAGGAGGACTGTCCACCCCCGATCATCTCACGAGCAGGGCGCCCCTGCACCGCACCACGCCTGGGCTCCGGGCTCGGGCCCCGCTCCAGCGCGGCACGGTGCACAGCCGGCTCGGCCCTGGGGGCCACGAGACTTCGCTCAGGTCGGGCATGTCCACCAAACTGCGGATTTGGGACAAAAAAAAACTGCCGAACAAAAACTCCAAAACTGTCACAATTCGTCAAAAAATCGTCCCCGTGTTCTTGTTCCCCTATTTTTGGACATCCCTCCTGTAGAGGGACGTGCCCGACTTAAGACTACGCACCCGTTCCGTCCCTGGGTCGGACATCGACGACGTCTCGGGAGGCGCCGGCGCGTTGCGGTGCACACCGGGCGTCCGCGAAATCATCTGGGTCGCCAGACTTCGCACATCGCGCCCCGCCCATGCGCGGCGCGCGTTTGTCGTCGCGCCCTCGCGAGGCCACCTTGGAGAAAGGCGCCTCGCCGGCCCAGGCCGCGACACGCGCAGCACAATTTATCCTCGCGCCCCTGGGGGTGACCCAGGAAGGCGAACGCGAAGGAGGGGTGGGAAACAAGGGAGCGAGGACGAGAGGGAGCGGGAGATGCAGGCGCATCTGAGGCGGGCCCCACTTGCACAGCCAATCGGAATCGAACCGGGAAGGCGCGTCGAATCGGAATGTGCGTCGAACCGGGCCGCATCGGCACGAAGTCGGGCTCAAACTGGATCGGCCGCGACACAATGCACAACAGCCCCACGCAAGCATCGGGCCCGCCAAAATGTCGTAACCGAACTGGACCTGACCAGCCGAAACCTTCCTCGGATCGAATCGATCAGCTCGAAGTTCGACTCTGCAGGGGCACCGGGCTGCTGTACCTCTGGGGTATACTCGCTCATTGTTTCTCGTCCGCACCCTCTGCGCGCCCGGCCTCTCCGCCTCTCCCCGCTCGCATGCCCCCCCTCTTTTCTGGCGCCACTCTGCGAGGGAGGGGGGAGAGAAAGGCGGCAGGCAAAGAGAAGACGACGACGAACGCGGCCCCCCACTTTGCCAATCGATGTTTGCAGTTTGGCGGCCCCGTCTGGGATCTCTCTCTGTCCGTCGTCGTCGTCGTCATCATTGTCGTCGTCGTAGTCGTCGGCGAAATGTTTGCCAGAGGATCAGATGATTCGAACATCGTGATTGATTTGTGGTCTTGTTCTGATATCGTTCTCTGATCTACTATCTCGTCGGCTGGAACGTTCATGGACCTGGCCATTGGATTTGGTCTGTCCGTTTAGCGGAAGCACGATAGGTGTATATGTGTAGGTGTGCGCCCGACCCAGGAGGAGGGGAGGGCGCGCTTTTGACACCTCGCAGCCCAACCAGCCGAGGTCCACGCGGACATGACCAAGCAGCTCCCTTCGGAGTTGCCGGACTTCGTGCGATCCCCACGGGCATTGGCCCCCACGCCGCCAACCCCAGAAAAGATGTTACGGCCCACGGGGCGGGATCGCGTATATTCCTGACAATTCATTGGAGCGGGCCGAGGCAGACTGACGTATCCCACAGATGATACGGTGCGCCAGCTCAACATAATGTTTTCGGTCGCAATACTTGTCTCGATCTGCAAGAAAATTCATGCACCGAACAAAGCACGGCTTAGCCGTACATTTTCGTTGTCAAAGGCGTGAAATCCCAAGGCAACGTTCAGCGGTGAAACCGCACGTTCCCCATAGATGACTGGTCGTCGGTCCTCATTCAACAACAAATTTCCACATCGTATGTGACATCGTTTCTTACTACTCTTCCCTTTCCCTTCGTGGGAACAAATATCTGTTGTATTCGTGAATATTCCACCACTGCCACTTGTAGCACACACACACAACACATCCACCATCCATCTCCAGCATAGTAGTGCTGGTTAGTATGCCAATGTCCAATTTCACTGGCGTCGTACGCCCTCTGCATGTCGCGATTTCGCCGCTTCATCTCAAAAGATGCCACGGAAGCCGTAGCAACTGACGGTCCGTCCACGACGAACGTTTCGTTGGCGACATGGATGTCCGTGCGTTTTGTCTTGGGCGCCGGCGTACCTCTTGTGCTTCTGTCAGCAGATTTCTTCGACGGTGATGGCCAGCGATTGGACGGTACCGGAGGCGGTGGAGGCAAATTGGGGACCATGCTGGCCCAACGTTGCCGATTACCAGTTGAAACATCAGCCGTACTTTAGGCATCGTCTACCTGCATGGCACTACCTACCACCCGATGCCGAGGCCCCACCGCTGACTGAGTCAGCAGCGGCCCTAAGCATGAGCATGCTCATCGGGCCGGTCTTGGCCGCTGAGGCAGCACCAGTGGCTGAGCCAGCAACGACCTCAATGCCTGCCATATTATTGGTTTTGCCTTTCGTTGATTTCCCGTCGTCGTCAAAGATAGCGGCTTGCTCCCTAAGAGATGCCCGCTGTATTGCAGCAGTCGTCCTCTCCTTTTCGTGCTGCACTACGTCGGCAGCCTGAGCTGTTCTGCCATGAAAACTGCCACAACTTTATGTTCGGAAATACTTGCAGCCACTCGGGCCCTTTCCACTTCGTGCTGCATCGATCGCTCTTTCTCAGCCAGCTTCTCCGCCAAAATCCGTTCTTCCTCTACGATTGCCAACCCAGCTGCCTCCGCAGCTTCTTCTTGCCATGTTCAGCTTCCTGCAAGAACAGTTGAACTGGCTCCGAAATCACTTGTTGATGCGTTCCATTTCTCGCTCGAACGTTTCCATCTGCATCTTCATATGGGCAGCCATCTGCTCGCTGAGTAGCCTTTCTCTCGCAGCGGCCTGTTGATTCCTTCCGTTGCCATGTCATGGTCATGATGTGTTGGCAATCACGCTACTGCTGCTGATGAGCACAGTCCGCACAAAGCCAGCTAAGATTACAATGCTTGAATGTGACGGAACACGTTCCGCACACTGGCCTACTATCAAGACCATTGCCTTTTCCAGCCACTCCCTGGCACGATTCTCCGCCGTCGTCGGGCAATTTGGCCCCCGAACCCAGCAAGACACCAAAATAGAAAGCACACTAGAAGAGGACTGTCCACAAGGGTTATTCGACCCAAGCTGTTGCCTGATCTAGTGCGACCTTATCATGTACAAGGGGATCGGGGGTCCCGAAGAAAGGCACCAAATCCATGTCTGGTGCCCTCGTTTCTGCACCTTGAGATTGACACGTTGCCAAACCAAAGACCGCCCGCCGTCTTTGCCCTTTCCACTTCGCGAATGGTGGGATAATGAGACACCGCTGCATGGGTCCCAGTTGAACCGGAAGTCCGCAATTGAGGATCATATACATCCATTCGCTTGTCGGATCGCCCATTGGGCCTTTTTCGGGGCGGCGTATCCAAAAGTGGGGTCCCTCGGGTGGTCTACCACATGTGGCTCCCGAGGGCTCAACGTGTCAACTGGTGTTTGAGAGATTTCTACAATCTCCGCTCTCTTCGACGGTCATCGACGGGATACCTGATGGATTGTTGAACCACCCACCGGTATGCCGCCACGTTTGTCCGTGACGATAATGACTTTCACCTAATCTACCTGTTAAACCCGCAGACTCGATCGCAACATGGCGCGAATATGCTGTCAATGATGAGCTCAGGGACCAGATCTTCGAATCAATGACTGCGGAGAGTTCTCGATCAACATCCATCTCTATCACGTTGGTGTTTCCTCTGGAACTATGGGGATCTGCATTCCGCATATAAATCAGAGGCACTTCGATAGGCACCATGGGCTGTGCATCGCGGCGCGGCTGATGTGCCAAGTCATTCAAATCAGCAAATCTGGAGCTTTCGGATTATAAGAGGTTGTGTACCAGAAGGTCAGAAGATTCTGACCGCATCCTTTGATTTACTATTTCGGTGGTTTGGGTTTTCATGGACTCGGCCATTGGATGAGGTCAGTTCGTTAAGCGGAAGCACGATAGGTGTATATGTGTAGGTGTGCGCCCGACCCAGGAGGGAGGGCGCGCGCTTTTGGCACGTCGCAGCCCAAACAATTGCGGTCCACGCGGCGATGACCAAGGTCAGCAAACAGTGGCGGCGGCGGCGGCAGCGGGAGACGCCAGGAACGAAGCCATATTAACTTGTCGTCGTCGTCGGCGTCGGCGTCGTCGGCGTCGGCGTCGGCGTCGGCATCGTCATCGTCGTCGTCGTCGACCTGTCTCATCTCAGTGGCGGCGCGCACGAGGGTGTGGGGCGCGGTGGGGGGCCTTCTGAGAGGGCACGGGGGCTACTCGGAAGGGATCCGAAGCTTCCAAGGAAATGCTTCGTGGAAGGCGGGAGCAATCCTACCAAGAAGCCGCAGGCACGCACGGCCTGAGCAGGCGGCTGCTCAGAAGAGCCTGAATCGCCAGCACGTTCGTGTCCAGATCGGGGCGTTGCCTCGGGCGGTTTGCCTACTCGGTGGCTTGGACTTCGGCGATGTCGGAGCAAATTGTGGGGATGTCTCCAGTGAGGCGCTGGCTTCATCACCGCATGAGGGAGCCGCCAGGGCGTCTTTCACGGGCCCGCTCGCGCCCAGAATGTGGGGGTGTCTCCGGCGGTTTGCTTATTTGGTGGCTTGGA